TATATATATATATATATATTAGGGGTGTAACGGTACACAGATGTCATGGTTCGGTACGTAGGCTACCTCGGTTCGGGGGTCACGGTTCGATACGATTTCGGTACAACAGGAAAAAACAACATATCTATGCTAGGTTTCTTTTCATTTATTTTGAACAGACAGTAGAGCCCGGTCTCATGAAAATGCGTATAAATAGTATGCCACATAAAAACGAAAACTCGTGGTATTGATATGCAAAAATTGACTTTGGTGCGCATATAATACGCAGTTTTCGCGTGCATATGATACGCATGTGTTTGGCGTGCATATAATACGCAGTTTTGGCTGCATATAATACGCAGTTTTCGCATGCATATGATACGAAATTTGTTGGCGTGTATATGATACGCAGTTATCGTGTACATATGATACGCATCTACCCCACAACCCTAAACCTACCCATCGCGTAGCATATACGCGCCAAAGTCCATTTTTGCATATCAATACCACCAGGTTTTGTTTTTATTTGGCGTACTATTTATACGCACTTTCATGAGATCGGGTTGGACAGTAGTACAAATTAAAAAAATTTCCACCTAGATGTGAAAATACTAAATATTATATTAAATTATAATGTTATATATATATCAAATCTGCAGTACATATATACATACAAGGAATAAATGCTTGAAATATATTTGATTTAGTTAACAGATAAACAAGGGAAAAAACGGTGCGACACGTAACGTAGCCTTTATATGCGGACTTTGAGTTCATTTTTGTGACACGCTTAATTTGTTCACAGAAAGGAAACTCAAATGGCAGAAAGTGACATCCTATTGGTTTTCTTTATTTTACAAAAGCACAATGTTTTGTTTTTATTGTGAGTGTACATTTGATTGCTATTATTTTCATCTAAACCACTAGATGACACAAAAACGTGGTGTAGCACTTTTCAAAACATCCGCTTTTCAAGATGCACCTGTATATTTGTCTGATCCTTGACACAATCGTGATCAAATGAGAATCGCTAAAATGAATGCATATAATTTGAGACAAAGGTCTTATGATTTTCAGTTTTAAGTAGTTAAAGCAACAGTTTGTAAAAAAATATGTAAAAGTATGGTATTTGGGGTAAAAAGCGCCCCTGCTGCTGGGGCTAAAGGCACAGTAATTAACATGATAATTAATAGATGGCTGACTTTTCCATTTGTTGACATGACATGGTTAGATTCAGATGGTAAATATCATATATTATGTTGGGTGTCCATATTAGAGATAATCTAATTCTAAATAATGTTTAGAATGAAACCATCATATTTAAAAACATGATATTAATCATATCATATAATAAAATATCATTTGTCGTTACTACTGTAAATATATATTCAATTATTATTGGATCTCCTTCAATACTTTCAGAATCTTCAATTATTAAAACGATTTTATTTCTGTATTTTAAAATATATTTTTCATATTAACATATTTTAATGACAGTATATTTATTGTCAACAAATATTCTTTTCTTTTTCAAAATAAGCAGAAAATAGTACAAACTTTGCTAAAGTGATTGTTTTGAACAAGTATTAACTTAGACATTATTTAAAAAAGCAAACATTATTTTAGCTGAATTATTTGTATCAATACCATGTGCCTTTTACCCCGTGTGTGGGGTAAAAGGCCCCTCTTGCCACCTCATACATTTATAAGATTTTTAAACAAAATAAGAAACTTGAATGATTTATTTTCACACAAAATCTGTTGCTCCGTTAATGTTCAATACAACGTATATATTTTTTCTGCAATTATACATTTTAGGCGCAGTGAATAGTACATTTTTTCTTAAGGTGGGCCGTTGTACCCTCTAAAAGTTGTCATTTATTATTTGGGCATCATAAGAAATTGCTGTGGAACTAGTTATTACATTTGATATATTTTTACAGTTTAACAAGATTATTAAAAATGATTAACTGGTGTCTTTCAATCACTAAAACACACATTACAGCACCATTATAATAGCCTCTTTTTAATAACAATCTGCATTTATAACGTATTCTGTACAGACTAAACATGCAGGCTTGAAGAAAAAAATAAAGTCAGCTACATGTAGAGGCTAATAATACCAGACTAACTACAGTTGTTGTAAACAAATGGAGGTTTTTCTATGGCCAGTGCATTTATAAAGCAGGCTGGCTGTTAAAGTATAGGCTACATAATACACTTAAGTAAAACAATTGAACTGAAAATGTTTACTCAGAGACATAAGTCTATTGACAAAGCTGTCAGTAGAATTTGGATCTGATAAGTGTGGAGATAAACACCTCAGTTAGGCCAATTAGGCCTAACCCAGATCTGAAAACAGCTAAATATCATTGAATTAAATGACCTGGCTGATATATAGGTCCAATGCTAGCGTTTAATGTTATATTCATGGAGTCTTTAATGTGGTATTGATGTTTTCACACCAGCCCTGTTAAACTGATATATGCTTCCTTGGAGGATATCCAGCTCTCTTTAGGGTGTTTAATCCTTTTCACAGAAGCCTTCACCCTTAAAGGACTGATTTAAATTGTGATATCTGATTCACTCATATTTAGACCTCAGATTTGCTAAAGCTGTGATGAATCGGTCTTTTCCTGAGCTCTGTGATTTTAAAGAAAACACTAAAAACTGAGGGTCAATGTGCTGCGATCACGTTCCTGCACTGAAGCATCTAATTGCTTACAGGATACTGCTGATGGTGTGATGGATTTTCTGTGCTCATGGCAGTAGACTCGAAATCAGATTATAGGATGCTGTGCACCCTTTAGGTGCCCCCAGCATCGGGCACAGCTTCTATTCGGCACACTGCTGAACTTAGCAGAAAAGAAAGGTTGTGTGTACCTGGCCGAAGGGTTTTGGATAATGCGTTGGTGCAGAGTCTGAGATCAATGTCCTAGACATGCATTAAATAAAGCGCAACCAACAGTCACACGGTTGGGAAACAACAATTCAAGAGTCTTTTGAGAGTTTGGAGGAAAAAAACAATTGAAGACTACATGATTTTCTGGCAGCTTGAGAACATCAGACATTTGTCCACCAGTTGATTGTAAAAAGAGCCAATTCAATCAAATTGAATTCCGATTTATTACAGTTTATTCTATTCATCGGAATCTCAGAAAAACCACAACAATATTTTGCATAAAGAAAATTAAGCCCGATCATTAAAAATGAATTAATCTCATTAAATGTTTCATAGCAGCTAGGTTTTAACCTATTACGGTCATGCATGTGGCGTTTTTATTTAATTCCTTTAATCGTCAATGGTGCTTCTCAATAGTTGAACTGTGAAGTAGATTTAAACCTATTTTTAGAGTGATAATGTCCACATTAAATGTAGCCTACACTGGCTTTCAGGGAAAATAATAATAATAAATCACAATAACAACAATGATAATAATAATCAACTATTGTTATGATTGTTTTAATTCTATTTAACAAAAATGATGACTGAAATATATTACTGTTGTAAGTTACAAATGTATTGTAAAATCAAAAGTAAGATTTATTAATAATTAATACTAACATAATATTATAATAATACTTTTATTTTACACTACAATTTACACTATTTATGCAATAAATTCTTCACTTTTTGTTACTTTAAAAATATATTTCAATCTTATTTAACCCATAAAAAGTAGTCTTGGTAGTATAAACTAATGTATTAATTCAGTGATATTAAATCATACTTTTTACTTGAATAAATAGAGTTAATCTTGATGTTACCGTTTTTTTTCAGTGTAAAAACTTAAATCACAGCCATTAATTTGCTAATCACCCCAAAATGTGTAAATTATCGTGCCACCCCAGTTATTTATTTATTTTATATCTGATGTAATTAATTATTAGCTTTTCATCAACTCATGAAACCCATGCAGCTCCCTCACGAACCCCGTTTGGTAAACCCTGGTGTGAATGACTGTAATTTCATATATTTTTAAAAATTAAAAATTTTAGTTTTACAATTTCATGCACACACACACGCACGCGTACACACACAACAGTAATGAGAGTAATGCACTTTTTTTTTTTAAGGTGCAGAATTTATGGTATTGAAAATTGGGGGATACACAAAAATGCTAAATGAATTGTCCTGTATTGAGTACACTTTTGAGCAAAATATAATTCGGTTAAAATATGACAAGCTCTTGCCAGGTTTTGTGATATACAGCCATTCACCAACATATTTCTTCCACTACTTCCATTATACATTTGTGGATGTGTGTGACATCAGATTCTCCCGTCACAGTTTTATAACCAGACTGATGTGGTTTTTGCAGGAAAGAGGGGAGTGATACTTGAACCTCATGCCTCTACAAAGCCATTCATGAGGCAAGGCTTCCTCCACACCAACAGACCAGCATGGAGAAAGGGGTCCGAACACGACACGAAACAGGAGCGGCAGATGAGAAAGATCCTCTTACTCAAGGGAAGACCCCATTAGCGGGGAGTGCAGACTTGGGACATGAATGTTGCAAACGTAATGGTCTGATCAATACCCACAACCTAATGGTGGAGACTAAAGAAGGACTGGTGTCGGTCTATTCTGCCCCACAGTACCAGGGCCATGTGGTGTCCAAGGACATAAATGGGACACCGGATGGTCGAGGACCCCCACAGTTGCTCAACCCTAGCGCCCTGCCCCAGGCTATAGACCCTTACTACAGACCCAACCTCCTTCTGTACCCCGAGAGCGTGTTGAGAGCATGGGGAGATGGGGGGGACTGCTGCGAGACCACCTTCATTGATGAGATGACCCCCGCCTCGTCCAGCTCCGCTGTCACTAAAGACGGCATTCTGTTCACCGACAGCAAGCTGCTGGATCTCTCTATGGAAGACGCCAAGATCCAGACACTCTCCTATGATGTAGATGACGACGATGATGAATTTCAAGAACTCGAGGTGAGAGATTGCATATTAATACTCTTTTAAATTTAGTTCATCCAAATGTACAAAAGACAAAAGTGCACATAAGAAGTTTTGTGCATAGAGTTAAAGTCAGTGGTAGGGCTGCATGATTTCGCAGTAGCCCCTCACTGCAGAACAAAGATCCAGGGGGCGGGTTGGATCCACATCTAGGGGGTGGAGATGGGTGGGTTTAGGGATCAGGGGGTGGAAACGGGTAGGATTGGGTATATGTAAGGTGGGAAGAGTTGAATCTGGATCCAACCTCGCCCCCTTGATCTTATGTTCTGCAGTGAGGACAATCTCTGATTTGGTGGGGGAGAGTAATCATGATTTTTCTGATAAAATTATGATTGCAATTTAAAATTATAAAAAAAAAATCTGCATTAGTGGTTATATAGCGATGTGATTATAATGGTTTTTATTTTTTGCTATTTTATTATGATGATTTTTCTTACCAAATAAAAATATTAAACAACAACAACAAAAAATACTATATGGTAGTATTTCATAGTAAAATTTTAAAAATCTAGTATTTAAGGAAAATAATGTTATGTACAATAATTTTATGTACCAAAAATATTTAACAAAATAAGAAATATTACTATTAAAAGATTTTATTCTAAAAGAAAAAAAAAGTATTTAAGAAAAATACAAATGTAATAATTATTTTATTTTAAGTACATATAAAATATTGAAAAACTATTGTAATATTTCACTGTAAAATAAAAAAAAATCAAGTATTTAAGAAAAATAATATAATTATTTTAAATACAAATAAAAATATAAAACAAAAGATATATTTCTATTGTGATATTATGACTGTAATATTTCACTGTCAAACAATCTAGTATTTAAGACAAATTATATTTTACACTTATAATGCTAATTCATCTTAATTTATTTGTTTTAAATTTAGTTTGTCTTAATTTATTTGCTTTCAGACATTAAAACAAGATTTCATTTTGGTTAAAAAAAAGAAAAAGAAAAAAGCAGCAAGTACTTAACGGGTTAGTTCACTCCAAAATGAAAATTCTGTCATTACTCACCCTCATGTCGTTCTAAACCCGTAAGACCACCGTTCATCTTCAGAACACAAATTCAAATATTTGTATTTTATATTAAGATATTAGCATCCACTGAACGTGAACAGCGTATGATACAGCACACGGATACGTTTTCTACGTTGTTTACGCTTTAATTTGAACGAAAATGCATCCGCGTGACGCAGCTGACACAGAATAGCATACGCTGATTGCGTTCAGTGGATACTCTCCAAAATGGCACCACGGAGGAGACGAAATGTTGAATAAAGTCATTATTTTTGTTTTCGTTGCGTACAAAAAGTTTTCTCGTAGCTTTGTAAAATTACAGTTGCACCCCTGATGTCACATGGATTATTTTAACGATCTCCTTGCTACATTTCTGGACGTTGATCGGGGTAGTACCCTTGCTGTCTATGGGAGGGTCAGAGAGCCCTCAGAATTAATCAAAAATATCTTACATTTTGTTCCGAAGACGAACGGCGGTCTTATGGATTTAGAACGACATGAAGGTGAGTAATTAATGACAGAATTTTCATTTTTGGGTGAACTATCCCTTTAAAGCTTCTCTTTTGTTGACAACATCGAGTTTATAAGCACTTCTCATTGCAAGTTTAGGAAGATGGTTGGTGCATGGTTCTGTTCCCAAATGCATGCGAAAACAACCCAAACTCAGAGCAGATACAGAAATAAGTTAGTGTGTTGCAGCATTTACTATGAACTGATAAATCTCGCAAGGCAGATAATGATTAGTTAAAAAAAAAAAAAAAAAAAGTTGGTGAGAGGGATTGATGCACTGCATTTGAAGTTTGCACGAGCTCACAAACCTGTGAGGGGACCAATGTGCATTTCCGGAAGTGCTGCGATCACGTAATCATATACGTCACTTTTTTTTTGCATGCACACCCTCATACATAGACCAGGCTTTACAATGCTGCCTAGGTTTTGGAACAGAGCCAACTGGATTTTCAGTCTTTTCAAATAATTTATGCACCACACATGTTTTGTTTAGAGGCAATTCTTACCAATGTAAACCATACTGTTATCCAGTGCTATAAGGATGGTATGAGCGCTGTCTTTGCCCCTACTTTAACAGCACCCTGTCATATGGTGCTGCTGATCTGAGCGAGCACGTGTCTGGAGCTCTTGCCAGATGACTGGGAGAGAGAGTGGGTGATCAGAAGGCTGTGTAGAGAGTGTAAAGAGAGCTGGTTTCCTGCTGCTGCCCGCCTGTTTGCACCACCTGTTCCGAGTCCGATGTGCAGCTTCACAGAGTCCTGCGTGAGTGGCCAATGAAGAGCACAACGAAACTGCAGATGTGCTGCAGCCTGTGTTTCATGGAGTTCACTTTGATTTAAAATACATGACCCCCAAAAAGGCTTATATGATTATACAGTCAGAAGCTTAAAAATGAATTATATATATATATATATATATATATATATATATTTATTAGGGCTGTCAACGTTAACGCGTTAACGCATGCAATTAATTTTACAATCCTTAACGCATTAAAATAATTTAAAGCATTTAACACAAAATTACTGAAGCACAATTTCTATTCTAACCCTTTAACCCAATTTTGCTTCTCTGCTTGCACAATCAGATCATTTTAAGCTGCCAAGTTTTCAGTCCAATGATCCAGTAAGCGAATGCATTCAAACAACCCGTCCAAAACAGCGCTAATATAAAGGAAACCAGGCTGATTACATCAGAGATTGCAGAGAGAACAGAGACTCACGTTGCGTTTTCAGTGAATTATTCATTCCAGTGTGTTTTGCTTTTAACCACGAGCACTGTCATATGTGACCATGGACCACAAAACCATTCATAAGGGTAAATTTTTCGAAATTGAGATTTATACATAATATGAAAGCTGAATAAATAAGCTTCCCATTGATGTATGGTTTGTTAGGATAGGACAATATTTGGCCGAGATACAACTATTTGAAAATCTTGAATCTGAGGGTGCAAAAAAAAAAAATCTAAATATTGAGAAAATTGCCTTTAAAGTTGTCCAAATGAAGTTCTTAGCAATGCATATTACTAATCAAATTAAGTTAATATTTACGGTAGGAAATTTACAAAATATCTTCATGGAAAATGATCTTTACTTAATATCCTAATGATTTTTGGCATAAAAGAAAAATCAATAATTTTGACCCATACAATGTATTGTATGGGCTATTTGGCTATTGCTACAAATATCCCCCAGCAACTTAAGACTGCTTTTGTGGTCCAGGGTCACATATTCTGTGATTGTCTCTGAAGAGCTCGAGCCCTCATATGTCACACTGTGTGAAGTACAGACTGAATCGATTGTCAACACATCCCACCGCTGTATGGCCAGATGAGACGCAAACTACGTTTTCTCGACTGGATAACCAGTGTCTCGCTAGTAAACTTTTGATAGATGAAGACTGCAATCAAGGTAAAGACGATTGCGGTGGCGTACAGTAAGCACGCGTGAGTCCGTTATATTAATGCGTGTATGAGTGCTCTTGACACACTGATCACACATTGCATTTCCGTACATTCACGTTGTTTCTAAACACATTCACGATAATGTTTTGATTGTCATGTTTATGTTGCTGTGTTTAGTTATTCTGAATGGATCCGTGTACTGTAGTAGATATATGCAGTCAGCAGATTGGTTTAGGGTTTTTTTGGCATCTCCATGTGGTCCTGTTCGGTATCGCAACTGGGCTTCTCTAAAATGTAAAAAAGCTCTTTGCTGTTGCACTGTACACAAACAAAAAAAAATTCAGATTTTTTTTTTCTTTCTTTCATATGTGCTTATATGGGCTTCTAGTACCATTTCGATCTTTGGTGTCCTTTTGGAGTTTCTAAGTGTTCTTTTTTTTTTTGAAAGACATCTAAATTTATCTTGAAAAAACCTTGCAGAAAATACAGATTTTTTGAGAATCACCCTTCAATCTTTTGGTTTACTTTGCTGGATATAGCAAATTATGACAAAATAAACATTTAATTCAAGATAAATTAAATCTCGATTAATCACAGAAAAAGGGTGCGATTAATTAGATTTAAAAAATTTAATCGATTGACAGCCCTAATATATATAAAACATCAGGGCAGCTGTTGGTCAAATGGGTGCCTCAAGCAGGATTGTATTGTTTTGCCCCCCTCTTTCAAATATTATGGAAGTAAAAAAAACCCCCCCACCTATTATAGGAGTCAAAATTTACCTTTAATAAAAAATAAAAGTAAATAAATTGTATTATTTGCAAATGACAAATCTAGACAGTTAGCTATGGCTATGATTTTATTAATACAGTTGTCCGATTTATTTTATAGTCTCAAGCATCCAGAAATCATGCAAAAGAAAATTAAGCAGTTTTACTATGATAAAACCATCGTTCATTTTTGTAAGGGTTGTGATGGCCACATGTTTTTTGTTGAAGAAATTAGAGGCTATGTCATCTATATATATAGCAAAAAGGTGGCCAAAAATTAAAGATTAAGTGGATATTTGAATGAAATGTTTGGTCAATACCTATTAAACAAGGATTTGATTGTCCTGTAAGAGTAGCAGCAACAATGACCTTTGGCTCCTTTTGCATGCAACTTGTAATGTTCATAAATCGTTTGTTTATTTTGTATTACATTATGTATTTTAACGGTGTTATTCAATGAAACCATATAATTATTAATTAATCGATCTTTATTGCCTCATTGTTTTTATATAATGCATTTTAAGTCATTTGAAAGGCTATTGTTGGCTTAAGTCTGTTTTTATAACCACAAAAAAATTTCTTAATACTTTAAGTTATTATTTGAGGTAACAAAACCATGGTTAATTTGCAGTTATCATGGCTACAAGAACCATGATTTTTGGTTTTATTAGTGTTAAAACCATGGCTGATTTTCATAATGGAACATGGAAACTCAGAGAGAATATTAGATGTGTTGGTGGTGGTGAAATTATTACCGACA